TATATATATATATATATATATATATATATATATATATATATATATATATATATATATATATATATATATATATATATATATATATATATAGACGGTACCGTTTCGGCCTTTTGGGCCTCATCAGTGTAGTGCTGATGAGCAGGACGAAAGTAACTATAGTATAAATAGTTACCTTTGATGTCTCACGAATGTGGGACATCAAACCATTGCCAGAGTGCTATATATATATATATATATATATATATATATATATATATATATATATATATATATATATATATATATATATATATATATATATATATATATATATATATATATATATATATATCTTGACAGACATCATAGACACTGTCGAAACTTAGTATTAATTCCATTAATTTTCCAAGCCTCCCTCGGCTTTCCGGGACATTTAATCACTAATTTCCTCATATCATGGTATATTACTTATAATGACAGATACTCAACTGAATCACACCCGAACAGTCCTTTTGTCCAAAAGAGTTCCTCTTCTTCCACACTAATTCCACCGCGACGATCCTTTCTACATTTCACTTCAACTCCCTTCTTTGCCGCATCCCTCACTTCGCCATCAAGACTACTTTGGAAAAGAATACAATAGATCGCCGATGACTTACGACTAGTGTGAACCAGGCTTTAAGCTGAACGCAAAGTGCGTAAAATATTAACAGGGTGCATATGTTATAAATATTGACTTATTAACAAATTAAAATATCTTTGTAAAGCGCACGATTTTCTGCCCTTAGGAATTTAAAGCAGCTTCTTAAACAGTTTCTTTATGCATAAAATTTACTTATGTCAAGCTTTTATGCACTTGTGAGTGCTAAGGCATTCAAATTCTAACAATACGTTATTTCAATAGTTTGGGACACCCTGTAGCTGCAAATGACAACGTCTATTTCATTCGAGCCACTTTATCAAACAAAAGAAAACAATTATTTTAATCCCAAAACACTTAATTCCTTTCACATCTCATCAAACATTCATTTATATATTCATTTCACAAGTTGTTTGCAACACTCGCGGCCCGCGGTCGTGATGTATTGAATATAATCACTCGCCTTCGGCTCGTGTATATATTCAACACAACACGGCCGCTCGTGTTGTAAACATTACAAAGAAGATATACCATATATATATATCGTCAGCAAATCGGCGAATTATTATCTCAGTCGGCAAAACTGG